GAACCAGAGGATTCTGGTGTAAAATGAAATGACTCATTCAATAATGGGGGAACAAACAAGTTTCAGACAACACTGACACACAATACCAATGAAAACACTTCAGAGGAAGGTGGTGGGTTCCAACCATGCTGCAGTTTACGAGGTGGAGGGCAGGCCCTGCCTCGCGCCTGACATCCACCCAGAGGTCATTTCAGGACTACACTACATGCTGGGAATTGGCCCAAAGCAGCTTCTCAGAGCTGAGAGTTACCAAGTGATCTAGGCTGAGGGGCACAGAGGCAGGTACCTGATCTGCTAATGTGTAAACCCCAACAGCACCTACACTGGATAGGGGAGCTCACATAGTCAGACATCGCTGAGTAATGACCAAGTGACCAGCGTTAGCCAGACTCCAAGGCTGAGCTACCAAGCTTCGGACCAGCCACCGACACGGCTTTCTTAGAGCAGACCCACCCTACAAATGGTCCTTAGGCCCAGGTCTGCCCACAGAGCCCAAAATGTCCCCTGGGCCCTGCTCACCTCCAGCTCCTCCATGGTCACGATACCATCATGGTTGGAGTCGATTAGCTCCTCGAACTCCTTCTTCCTGTCTTTCACCCAATTGTCATCGATGTCCTGACCCTGCTGGTTCTCAACAGTGCCCACGGGCAGGGAGATGAACTCGGGCAGAGAGAGCTGCTTGTCACCATCCTGGTCTATGGGGCACAGGGGGTCAGTGCCTATTACCCCCTCACCCCAGTCCCTCCCAAGTAGGACTTGGCAACAGAGTGTCTACACTCAGGAGGTGCAAACACTCCCAGCCCACCAGGCCCCCATATTCTGGACTGCCCTCAGGCCTTACCCAGGTCCCGGACAATCTCCTTGACCATGAACTTGAGCATGCCCCGGCTATGCTCGGGATGAAGAAATGACAGGAACTCATCCTCGGTCAGTAGCAGGTCCGCGGGGGGGTTATCTGCCTGGTACCAGCGGTCTTTAAGGTTCTCAAGAACTTCCTGTGCTGAGAGAGATGATATCTGTGAACACCTTAGCAGATGGGATGCCTGTGTGCAAATCCAGAAAGTTCCAGGTGATACTGTCTGAACTTAGAGGCCTGGTACTCAGGACATGGCCTTGTATGAGGCCGAGGGCTCTGTTCCCTGAAGGAAGGGCTCTTCCCCCAGGGAGGTGACATACAGACCCTCTACACATGGCCCAGAGCCCCCAAACTACCTAGACACAGCCCAGACCCACCGCCCACCTAGGCTGAGTTCATGGCTGTTTGTTCCTTGGGAGAAATGGAAATTACGCTGTGAGGCTGACTCACCCTTAAACCAAAAGTGTCTACAGGAACAAAGACTGCACTGTTGTTCCATTTCTTTCACGTGCAAAATCAAACGGAGGGCACAGTGCTAAAGGAAAACCCAGTTTCTAGATATGACTGAAGTTGCAGCTGAGCAGAGCTTCCCACGAACCATCTTCCTCTGACCTGTGAGGCCTCTATGCCTGGTCCTCACTCTTGTGCCATGAAAGGTCTGGAGCTGTGGCTTCCTAAGTGTCCTGGCATGTCCCAATGTCCCCTGATATTCCTTAACATCCCTGATCAACCCCTACCACAGAGCCAGGGTCTGCCATGGTCCCTAGAGCATTAGTACAACATCCACATCCACCCTGAAGCTCACAACAGTAAGTGACCAAGTCCTAGGGTCAAGCCTCTATCAGAAGGCAGGTCAGGCAGCCCTTGGATACCCCTGGTTACCCCAAGGGCCCATGTACTCCCCTATGTCAGCCTCACCCCAGGTTCTGGAGCATTCCCTCCACAAACCCATCACCCTCCCAGTCACAGCAGACAGGGCCAAGTCACTGGCACATTTTGCTGCTTCCTGATCAACAATCTGCTGTGGCAGCCTACTTTACATGACAAATTCTTTTTTTTTTTTTTTGGAGAGGTTTTTGCAATAGGGAGCGTGTGCCTGCCAGATAGACAGAAAGCAAGAAATCCCCCCCCACACCACAATCCCTTCTCCTCCATTTTCCTCTCGGGATCTGGGCACGCACGCACACGCACCCAGCATGAGTTTAAAGCCACCGGGTCTGGGACTCAAATCGCGGTCGACTACATGGGAGTCCAGCGACAGCCATTACGCTAACTGCTGGTCCTGACAAATTCATTTTAAGGAAGATGGGAGCAAGGGGGCTTAGGGATCCAAGTGTTCCCTCCCCTTGTCTACCCCACTGCAGCTCCAAGGATGGAGGGACAGAATCAGCCCTGAGACACACTGGGACAGGCTGGCCCAAGGGCTCTCCAGTCAGGATAATTAGAGGGACAGCACAGCATTCTCACGTGGCGCTGCCTATGCCTAAGGAGAAGCTCCAGCTTCCCCCACCCCAAAAACACACCCACGTGCTACTGTGAGGGGGACCTTATTGGAAAGAGGGTCTTTGCAGCTGGGGTTAGATAAGGATCTCAAGGAGGTGATGCTGGATCTGAGTGGGGCCTAAACCCACTGACTGGTGTCCCAGAAAGAAGAGGGCACAGACACAGAGGATACAGCCAAGGGCTGAGTCTCAGAGATCCTAGAAGGAGCCCGCCCTGCCTGGAACTGGGTCTGCAGTGCACTGAGGGCAGCTCCAGGACTCGCATCGTGAATGTCCCTTTTGGACTACTGCTGAGGCCTTCCAGCCCTTCCTCCTGGGCCCCTGGCAGCTACTCCTCAATTCTAATCGCCAGACCGAAAAGCTGAAAGGGAGACCCATGAGTGTGCTAAGATCAAGGAGGTCAACACATAGGCAAGCAAGGACTGTAACTCAGGGGTGTGCAGGAATCCCCCAGGATACAGAGTAAATTCTGAATACACCTCCACTGAGCCCTAAATGTGAATGGGGGCTTTGAGGAGATGCTGCAAAGCTCTAGACCCAGAAAGGACTCTGTGACCTAGACAGGATAGACACATCTAATTAAATGGCAACAAAGACAGAGACCCTATCTAAAAAGCGTCAGGGCATGGAGACGGGCACAAGGACAGCTGACCTCTCAGTGGCCACCAGGAAGCCAGAGTCAGTGGAAGATGACTCCAAAATCACCAACCGGAAACTTAAGCAAAAATCTCACCTACGGGAGGAAGATAAAGGCCCTATGGGACTCCCTCACCCCTAAAGGACACCTTCAGGGAACAGCAAGAAATGGAGGACAAATGGTGGCAACAAACCTGAAACAGGCAGGAACAAAGCAAACCACCATGAGAGGTGACCCCTGAGAGATGTGACCAGCCCTCCATGGAATGGCAGTGAGGACAACCGCCCGTGGAGGGACAGGGAAGAACAGGCACCACCACGGTGTTCTCACGAAGCTCAGATAAGCCCAGCCAGATGATGGGCTGTGAAGAAATCACCAAGTGACAGAAAACAGCCCACAAGCCCAGGGTGGCTGCCTCTGGGACTGAGGTGGAGAGGAAGAGTACAGACCTGGAAGCAGCAACTCATTTAAAGCTCGTTCAACTACAACTGCACTATGGGGGTTCCCTTCAGAGATGGCGCTGCTTGGTGCCTGCCCACCTGCCTCCCTCCCACACCTCGAGCCCTGAGTCCTGGCCACTGTCCCAGGTCACGCTCGGCTCTACTCTCTTCATGCAGATGCACCCACCAACCCTGCAGACTGGCACAGCTCTGGCTACCACCCAGGGCCAAAGATCCCCTGTCCACACTCTCCCACCTGAGTGAGGCAGGCCACCCTGGAGGGGTCCAAGCCTTTGCCAGTTTTCCAGTTGACTACCTTGTGGCCACAGGTGATTTCTCCACCAGAGCCCAGACCCAGAGTCAGGTCCTCCTCAGACTCAAGCTTCAGTCTCCACAAGCACTACTCCCTCTACCTGGGAACCTCGCCCTCGTGTGACCAGGTCCTCTCTGTCTCCAGAGGAAAGGAGCAGACTCTGGGTCCAAACCAGGGCATGGCCTCATCCTTACAGCCTGGGATTTCTCCTTAGGATCTAACTAAACAGTGACAGGTATAAACTGCCGTCCTCTTACCACTCGCCCTGCTGGCCCCTCAGGGAGTACTGCAGTCCTCTTCCTCTTCTGAAGGCCAATACCCACCGATGCTGGGTCATACTGTCAAGATGAACATGTACGTACATGCACACAAAACAGGCATGTACATGTGCATGCTCATACAACTCATGCACACTGGCAGACACATGTATGCACCAGGGGATACACCCGCGCCACCCCGGAACCTGACAGGTTGGATCCCTGTGGTTGGCTCAGCATCTTGTGATGTCTAGGCCTCGAGCAGAACTTGGTGGCCCAGGCGGTACCCTCCTCCGTCCAGGCCCACACCTCACGCCCAGTGTGGTGAAGCCTGACCTTGGCTGGCTGGGACCTGAGCACTCACTTTCCTCGTCAACCTTGAGCTCCTCGTTGTTCTTGATAGCATCAGCAACCTCCTTTTCGTTGTGGCCCTTGCTTGCCAAAAACTTCACTTTATACTCATCCCATGACACGTGGCCTAAAAGAGCAGATCACACCTCTTACGATGTTCAACAATGAGCATTTTTTTCTTTTTTATTATCAGAGAGTCTGTGCACACATATATACCAGAAAGAAAAAGCACTCCAAGGGAGCATAGGCATGCTGCAATCCCCTTTCCTCTATTTCTCCATCCCATCAGCATTTGGGGCATGCATGCAGGCACACCCTATTGCTTTTCATGCCACTAGGGCTGGAACTTAGACCATGACTGGCCACGTGGGATCCCATCCCCTATGCACAGGACTTAACCACTGCACAGCAGGGCCAGCCCTCAAAGTAAACATTTTTTAAATAAAAAGAACTAGTCACTTTAGGTCATCTGCCAAAAATCCTTGTGCTATAGGCACCCACAGAGACAGTGGTGCAAGGTGCTAGCTCCAGAATTTTGCCAGGGCAGCGGTCAAGAGCCAAAGCAAGCAGTGCCCCCCACACCTGTTTTCTCACCTGCAAAGCTGCCTAGGGATGTCTAGCCCTTGGGGCCACTAAGAGGCACAGCCTGGCAGCACCAGTGAGGTCTAAGACACCAAATGTCTAAGAAGCTATTACTGGTTTTTTGTTGTTGTTGTTTTTCCAATTAAAACACCTAGATCACATTCAGTCCTTGCTCTGCACATCCTGTATCTTCAACAGACACTGGCCATGAAAACTGACTGGCTCAGACCCCTGGCCATGCCTCAGGGCCTTCAGAGCCCTGGCTCCCTCCATTCTGTGGTCCCTTAGCCTGCACTCATACCCCCAGCAAGGTCTGCCTGCCCCAGCCCCTGACACTTCTGCCCACAATACCGTCGCCATCAGGGTCTACGGCACGGAAGTGCCTCTTGTTCTCCTGGACAGCCTCCTGGAAGTGCTCGGCTGTCTTCTCCATGATCCAGTGCTGCATCTCCTTGGCGCTGATCCTCCGGTCAGTGTTCACGTCCACTCTGTGGGTGGGTCGGTGAACAGGAGGGCATGAGACAAGGCCCTCAGTCCCCTGGGCAGACAAACAGCTGAGAACCTCCCACAAATGACGACACGCTCCATCCCACAGTGACAGAGGAAACGTCAGGGCACACAGGGCTCACCGCAGGACTGTCAGACGGCATCGGGACCTGTCAGGGATGTGAGGAACTGGGCGGTTTGGTCTGCACTGCCACTTGGTATCACAGTCCCATCACCGAGAAGGGGAATGGACCTCCCTGCTTCATGGCTCAGCAGCCAGAATCATTACCCAATCCCACCCTCCCCAAGCATGGCTTCTACAACCACATTGTTCACATGGAGTTTTATACGCACCACGCACGACTGTGAAAAACCTTCACCTAAACATAAAGTAAGAAATTTAGAGAAAAAGACCTTCGGAGACCTGACACTGTGTCCAAGGAGGGAACAGACCCCAACTTGGAGAACAGGTGCCCAGGGACTGAGGGCAACAGGGACCCAGAGACTTAGGAGACAGATCCCTCGGGACTGACAGAACATGGATTGAGGGACATGATGGGATAGGGACCAGGGACTCCAGGGAGACTGAAGGTCCTTTCTTATCCCTTACCACTACCCCAGCAGCAGCCAGTACCTGACCTGCAGGTACACGAGCCCACAGCCCCATCTACCCCAAAGGGGCCCGGGAGGTACCCTCAGCTCCAGTCACTCCAAGAACAAGCAGCTGTGGGGAAGGGGCTCCCCAGGGTGGTGATATGCTGAGTGGGTGGAGTCTGTAGTTAATGCCTCTCAGGGCCTGGTGAGTCACAGTGCCTGGCAAAGCGCTCAGATACACATGGCCCCAGGCCAACTGAGAGGAAAGCTACGGATGCGAAGATGTTTACGCACACAACAAAGGCAGGCTAAATGAACCCTGGAACAAAATTAGAGTCCAAGAATAGTCACATTTACGTATACTGACAGAGATAACTACAGTTATGCACGTGTTAGCACATGTTAGTACCTGGGCTAGTACACACACACAGAAACAATTAGCACAAGCACATGTGTATACACGCTTAGCCTACACGTGTTTACACAGTTAGCATACACACGTGTTCAGAGTTAGCACATATACACATACATATAGGAGTTAGTACGCACACATCTGTTATCAAGATTTGTCCACTGAAGGGACTTCAGGCAATGACATCTCAGGGTTCAGATCCTGGTTGCTGAGACTATTCTCCAATCATAGGAACCAGACCTCTGATGCCAGAAAGTAGCGTGGTGGTTAAGGCGCCGAATCACACATGACCAATTGTGTAGTTTGAATCCCAGACCTACTGGTTTGAAAAACATGCTGGGCATGTGTGTACACATGCCCAAATCCCCAAGAGAATGGAGGAAAGGGGACTGCAACATGGCCATCTGCCCAGGGGTGATTTCTCATTTTTTCTCTCTCTGTCTCTCTCTGGTGAACACACATACCTTATAGCAAAAAACTAAAAAGAAATAAAATAAAAACAAACAAAAAAATGAACCAAGTCCCTTGGAGGAAGCCCCTTGGAGAAGTGGCTGACCAGTGCCAGGGCAGATAACATACACAATGAACCTGGAGTATCTTACAGTGTTAGAAAGTAGTAAGAGCGCTAAGAAAAGAGACAAAAGAACAGGGGACCCAGGGCCAGCTGGGGATGTTGGAGTTTAAGGCCCTGGACTCCCGCGAGGCCAACCACAGTTCAAGTCAGACCCAGTGGCTTGAAACTCACACTGGGTACATGTACATGTGTGCCCAGAATACCAAGGGGAGAATGGAGGAAAAGGGACTGCAGTGTGGCCATCCCCCTCCAGGGGTGATTTCTCGCTTTCTGTAGGTCTCTCCAGCACGTGCATGTGCCCTATAGCAAAAATCTCTCAAAAAAAAAAATAAATAACGAACAGGGAGCCCACAGTGATGCAGCAGTAAAACGTAAAACACAATACTCTGTGAGGCTCACCCACATGATAAGATTCTGGGTTTGCATCCAAAGGCCTCCCCGAGTATGCTGGGCACACACGAGCCCATGATCTGGGGCTGGCTGAGCTGGGTGTGGAATAGTGTCAAGACTGTTGAGGATGGCATATATAATGTGTGTGTGTTTCATTCATGGAAAAGATAAGTTTTTGTTTTTGCTTTTTTAAAAAAGGATAGAGGCATGCCACCGAGATACAAAGGCCAAATGAAAGGGAACCAGCAGTTAGCGTAATGGCTATGTCGCTGGACTCCCACGTAGTCGACCGCGGTTCGTGTCCTGGACCCAGTGGCTTAAAACTCACGCCAGGTGCATGTGCGTGCGTGCCCAAGATCCCGAGAGGAAAATGGAGGAGAAAGGATTGCGGCGTGGCCATCCCCCCTGGGGGGTGATTTCTCGCTTTCTGTCTCTATGTCTCTCTCTGTCTGTCTGGTGAGCGCAGGCGCCCTATAGTGAAAATCTCTCCCCCCCCAAAAAAAAGGCCAAATGAAAGAGCTCCCACAGTTGGAACAATGTGGGCAGCAAATCAACAGCAGAGCACTAGATCATAACCCAAAGTACACAACACGTGCCTCTGAGCCCACACTGATGTAAGTAGAGGCTGACCCCTGTAGGAGGCGGGGCTCATCTCCCACCCCACCCCACCCCATCCCAGAGGGCAGGTTAGGCCCAGTGACTGACTTCTGCATAAGAGACCAGGGACAGGGACAGAAGCAACTGTGTAGTGGAGACACCTGCAGACATCACTTTAACCAGGTGACCCAGGTCAATATCCCCAGGTGTGTGGATGTCAGAGACCCCAAATGCAACAGGACAAGATCAGCATCTTTCCAAAAACATGCCACCCTGTCCAATCACAAAAAATGCATTAAATGATCTCAAATGGAGGGCGTTGTACAGAACACCTGACTGTCTGCCCCATCCCCAGAACTAGAAAGGTCCTAGAAAGACAAGAGATGAGATGTCACAACCCATAGGAGCCTAAGCTACGACAACTTAATGCAATGTGGGATCCTCAGTGGGGTCCCGGGGCAGGAAGGGACATGAGGGGAAAGTGCCTGAGATGGGAAGGAAATCTACAGAACCACCACTGCTGCTGCTTGGTCTGACAGGCTTACGATGGTTACAGACGAGGCTGAGATTAGAGAAAACTGTGGCTGCATCTTAGTGCCCTTTGCGCGTTTTCTCAAACAAGATACCTCAGGTAACAAAAGATATCTCCCCATCCCATTGGAGAACACGCGTGAACACTTGCGCTTAGCTCTCGCAGCCCAAAGGCAGCCTGGGTGCCATGTGCCTCACCCCTAGCCCACCTCAAACCCAAAAGGTGCAGACCACCCGTGGCAGCCACCAGAGCATGGGAGGATGACTCTACAAAGCTGTGACAAAGACCTTTGTGAGCTCAGGGACAACAGTCCTAAGAGACCACAGAAAGCAATCAGCCAGCCTCTAAACAAACTGGTCAGTCACTACACAAAGAAGACATCCCATGAAAGAAGCCCGAGCCATCTTATATGGGGAGATGTGTAAAGGATGCTGTGTCTGGAAGGCAGGCCTTCCTGCTAGCACCCACTTCTGGGCTATTTCCTGCTCTGAAGCTCAAACCCTAGGTGCCTGCCCTGGCCCTCAGCCCAGTGAGGCAGGCAGACAGGCAGCCAAGGTTGTATGTGCTGTCTGGGGCCCAGGCATACCCGACACTCATACAATTCCCCATGACCCACAGACCCCAAGGACACAGGTGACCCACTCAGGCCCCACACAAGCCTGTGTGTACTTCACACTAAATAAATATTGGATTAAAAGATTAAGGCCAGGGTCACCAAGTGACATGGTGGTTGAGGCGCTCAACTCTCACATGCCTAACTGCGGTTCAAGTTCCAGACCTGGTGACTTGCTCTCTCACTTTCACTCTCTCTCTTTCTCTGGTCAAATTAAAATAATAATAATTAATAAAATAAAATAAATTATTATTAAAAAAGAAAAAGATTAGGGCCATCTCTGTGGTCTAGTGGTTAAGGGAGTTGGATCCCATATGGCCAACCATAGTTTGAATTCGGACCCCAACAGCTTGAGAAACATGCCCGAGTGGCCAAAATCCCAATGGGATGAAGAAATGGAAAAGGAATTATGGTGTGACCATGCGTCATTGCAAGGGTGGCAGGGGAGGGGGGCCTGAGTATGCTCTGTCTCCCTGACCAGCACATGTGCTCTCTAACAAGATTTTTTTGTGTGTTTGTTTGTTTGTTTGTTTTTAAAAAAGGAAGCACCAGCTCATCACTAGGAACAGACAGTCAGGACTCAGGGACAGGGGACAAAGACACAGGGGTCTGAGGCGGGAGTGAGGCCAGTCATGCCAGGCACAGGTTTGGCTCTGTTCTTGAGAGACAGATCTGGGGTCATGAGCTCCAGGCCTGCATAGTAACAGGACATGCCCACCTGTCCACAAGTATACCTGGCTTCCAAACGTGGCAGCACAGGACTCTCCAAGACATAAGACAGAGGGATGTCAGAAGGAGCCCTGTGTGCCCACCACTAGTCGCTCAATTCCAGGTGACTTTGTTTTTTAATATTTTTTTAAAGAATTATTTTATTTATTTATTTATTATTATTTCACATGAGTTTTGCCAGAGAAAGACAGAGAGAGAGAGAGGGAAAGTGAGAAAGCAAGCCACCAGGTCTGGGACTCAAACCATGGTCGGCCATGTGGGGATTCCAGCACCTTAATCACCATGCTACCTGCTGGCCCAATATTATTTTTTTAACAAGTTTATTTAGTCAGTTTTTTTGTTTTGTTTTTGTTTTTGTTTTTTGCTATAGGGTACATGCATTCACAGAAGAGAAACAGAGAAGGAAAGTGAGAAAGCATCCCAGGGGGTATGGCTGCACCACAACCTCCTCTCCTCCACTTCTCCATCCTTTTGGGATTTTGAGCATGCACGCACAAGTGCCCAATGTGTTTCTCAAGCTGCCATGTCCAGGACTTGAACCACGCAGTCAGCCATGCAGGACCCAGCTGCCTTAACCACCATGCCACTGGCTGGCTCTCCACGTGACTTCTTGTCAAATCAGACCCTACCTGAGAAGCCACACCCACACCTTTCAGATCACTCCCTAGGCCAAGTATCATCTAACTGCAATTGCAACCAGGCCTGCCTACTCCTTTCACAGAAGACACTGAACAGAGGCCTTTTAGCAGCAGAGCCTCACAGTAGGCAGCTGTGCACGGTCACCTGGTTAAAGTGATGTCCAGGCTGTCCTGAAGCTTCCCTAGCTGTAAGATCTCCTAGGTGATGTAACCAGGTGATCCAGGTCAATATCCCCAGGTGTGTGGATGTCAGAGACCCCAAATGCAACAGGACAAGATCAGCATCTTTCCAAAAACATGCCACCCTGTCCAATCACAAAAAATGCATTAAATGATCTCAAATGGAGGGACGTTGTACAGAACACCTGACTGTCTGCCCCATCCCCCGAACTAGAAAGATTCTAAAAAGACAAGAGATGAGATGTCACAACCCATAGGGCTGGGAAGCCCCACCTCTGGCCCTCCAAGCCTCCTGCTAACCCGCAGTGCTCAAGGAACGGCTCGGGGCTACTACATTTCTCAGCCCAAACACTGAAAGCTCTCAGTACAGCTGATCAAAAGCACAGGTTTATACAGCCACGTGCCCCATAGCAGGTTTTGAAGTGGGCCCTCTCCCCATCTCTCACCTCTCATGCAAAGTCACACAGGCAAGCAAACACAGGTGGGCCTCAGCAAGGGTGCACCTACTTGGAGAAGATGACCATCAGCTTCCTCCGGCTCTTCCGCGGCTCTGAGTCCTCATCAAACCCATCCATGTCTTTTCCTAAGAAGACCTCCTGATGGAAGTCCTTGTTGAGGTGCCCATCCATCTCCAGCTTCACCCCATTCAGGTGGTCTGGGGGCAGGATCTCATTCTCCTCCCTGTTGGCGGCTCTCTCCCGAGGAGATGAGTGGTTGGCAGGCCGTGCGGAGGCATCCATCAGAAAGATGACACCCAGGAGCCAGAGACAGTGAGGAGCTAGGCCACAGAGGGGAGCCTGCCTGGACGCCATCACTGCTAGGTCCAGACTGCGGGACAGCCTGCAAGGTGTGGGCCAGGAGCCGGGGAAAAGGAGGCCAGAAAAGGAAGTGAAGTCACGGTTCAAATCAAAGCCCTGAGCATGGCAGAGGCCTCTGTGTTCCCAGGACAGCTGCAGGCTGATTGCCGGAGCCTCCAGACTCCAGCGAGCAGTTAATGGTCTACAAAAAGATACAGATCCATCATTTAGTGGAACTCGGCAAACATGTTTACTTCCTAACGTGAAACAGAAGTTCTTGATTTACAGAACCCTGACCACATACAGTATTTTCTCTCCTTATTTACTTATTTTTAACTTACCACAGGGTATGTATGCTCACCAGAGAGAAAGGGAAAATGAGAAATCACCCCCGGGGGAGACCAGCAGTTGGCATAACGGCTGTCACTGGACTCCCATGTAGTTGACCGTGGTTCGAGTCCCGGACCCAGCGGCTTAAACTCACGCCAGGTGCATGTGTGTGCGTGCCCAAGATCCCAAGAGGAGAATGGAGGAGAGGGGATTGCGGCGTGGCCATCCCCCCTGGGGGGGTGGTGATTTCTTGCTTTCTATCTCTGTGTTTCTCTCTGTCTTTCTTGAGAGCGCACTTGCCCTATAGCGAAAACCTCTCCAAAAAAAAGAAGAAAAAAAAAAGAAATCACCCCTGGGGAAATGTCCACACTGCATTCCCTTCTCCTCTCATGATTTTGGGCATACATACACGTATGCTTGGTGTGTTTTTCAAGACACCAGGTCCTGAAACCAGCAGATGGCATAGTGCTTAAGTCGCTAGACTCCCAGATGGCCAATCACAGTTTGAGCCCCAGACCCAGCAGCTTAAAATTCAAGATGGGCGCATGTGCCTGAGTGTCTAAAATCCTGAGAGAAGAATAGAGAAAAAGGGATTGTGGCCTGGCCGTACCCCCGCACCCCGGGGACAGGATGATTTCTCACTTTCTTCGGTCTCTCTCTTTCTCTGGCAAGCACATGTGCCCTCTAGCAAAAAACCCTCTAAAAAGACACCAAGGACCAGCAGATGGTGTAATGGTTATGTCACTGGACTCCCACGTAGTCAACTGTGGTTCAGGTCCTGGACCAGTCGACTTAAAACTCATGCCTGCTAGTGTGTGTGTGTGCGTGTGCCCAAAATCCTAGGAGGAGAATGGAGGAGAAGGGACTGCAGTGTGGCCATCGCCTCAGGGGATGATTTCTCGCTTTCTCTCTGTCTCTCCACAAGCACATGTGCCATACAGCAAAAATCTCAAATAAATAAATAAATAGCAAGAATACTACAAAGTATTAATATAAAAAATTTTAAACACACACACACGTGCACACACACAACAGGTCCTGGACTCGGACTGTGCAGCTGGCCAGGTGGGATCCAGATGCCTTAACCACTATGCCACTGGCTGGCCCTCTCCCCTTTTTAAAAGACACCAGATTTCCAGCTCTGCCTCTCCTCAAAGTTGTCACCATCCCAAGGGGCTGACTTGCTCCCCTCAGTGCCTATAACACAGCCTCCAGACTGGTCTGGCTCTATACTTGCTGACCTTACAGCACTGACCTGTGGGGTCACAGTCACTCCTTGTCCAGATCTGGACTTGGGATTCTGTGACCCTGGCTAAATTATCTGACCTCCCTGGCCTCAATCTCTCACTAAAAAAACAGGAAGCTCCCCACCCCTCACCCAAGGCTTTGTGACTTGAAGTATAAACCACTGAGGGCCTGGCTCAGCAAACACTCACACCTTCCCATGGGGCACCGGCCCCTCCAAACATCTCACTGTGATGACTCTTGTACAGGCACACGGATGCATGCACGCACCACACGCCCTCACTTACATTCATGAGGGAACGCCAAAGCAGCTGGAGGACCCAGGACATCTGTCTCTGTACCCTGGACGTGCCTAGTGTGGTGGGAAGCAGGGGCTCACAGACACTCAAACTTCACACATCCCTTCTCGTCCCTAAACCTGCTTTTTCCTGTACTCTGTGCACCTGGCAAACACCTGTTGGTCCTTCCAGATGCAGATGAGGCCCCACCTGTGTGTGCTGTAGCTGTTCCCTAAACACATGTTTACTGAAACTGCTGTTTTGTAGCCCTCTGGCAAGGGCAGTATCTTATTCAGTCTCACCTGCCACGCTCCCTCGGGGGATATTAAACAAGTGAAAATACTGCATACAGGCACCAAGACAAAGCCCAGGGGCTGCCACTAAGATGGGCCCAGGAAAAAGTGCAATAGCCAAGCTGGGGGTCACTCAAGGAAGGAAACCCTGGACACATGGATTGTATTAGATTTTTATCGTGGCTGAGGGCTGAGGTGTCATTTCATTTCTTCCATCTCAACTCTCCTAGCCAGAGAGCACTGGGTAAGAACTGAGACAACTTGCTATTGGTGCTAACTGCACTAATTGCAATCATAAAATACAATGTTGTATGCAAGACTGTACTTTGCTCCTTGGAAAAAACAGTCAGTTCCTGATTCTACTGAACTACAAAGAGCAGTGTAAATACAATGTTTTATACAAAAAGGAACTCTGAAGTGTCTGCACAAATATCAGGAGTTTATCCAGTGAAACTTCCTCCCCTCAGTTCACGTTATTTATACCAGTGTCGAAGTAAGGGGGGGGGGGTGTGTGTGACCAAGTCAAGTCAATCGCTCGCTTGTTTTCTCACCCTCTGTTCCATTAGAAAGATGTTTCAAAGAGGGGACTCTCCATCACCTAGAAACCTCAAGTCCCTAACAAACAGTAAACAAACTCTTGCTAAACGAAGGCTGGAAACCCCTTAAGTGGAGGTGGTATTTCACTGCCATCCCTGGGTTTCAGCTCTGGTGAAACTACACTACTTCCTGTGGCGAAAACCACGAATGCTTGTTCTAAAAGTTCTGTTACGGTTTAGGAGTAGCACATAGGTTAATAACAACTGCCACTAGGCAATCCAGACACACACATTCCAAATCTTCAGCTCCTACTAACTAGGGACCACCGTCCGCTGGTTACGCATGAGGAAACTGAAGCAAGTTGTCCAAGGTCACCTCGTTAACAAACACGAGTCTGCTTGCCTTCCGCACAATCCAGCTCCTTTCAGCATCCTTCAGCAGAGTTCGCAGGTTCGGCGAAGATAATGCCAGGTGTGGAGGCGGCTGAGGCGGGCTAGCCCCAGTCCATGGCGCCTTTACGGCCGCTGCGAGTGCCAGAGGAGCTAGTCCGGCCAAGCTCGGCCATCATCGGCCCGGGTCAGTACCCCAGGCCGGGCAGACCAACCCGCGCACGATGCCCCAGCTCAAAGCGGTGGGCAGAGGCCTTCGGACCCGCCCCTTGCGCACCGATCGGCGAGGACAGCAGCCGTGCGGCACCAGCGGTCGCCCTGGGGCCCCTTCACTCACCCGCCCCCCTGGTGCCTGCGACGCCTCCGACCAGGATCTGCTCAGGCCGCCGCCATCTTTCTTGCGGGAAGAGGAGGGCGAACTGGCCGAAGGGCGGTGCGAACGGTGCGACCTCACTGCGCGGACCCCGGGTCCGCCATCTTTCCTCCGGGCGGAAGTAGTCGCACGCCTACTCTGACAGCAACCAATGAGAAAGGCGCAAGCAAGGCCACGTGACGGCCGGGTCCTTGCGGCCGTCGCCCCC